ACACACACACACACACACACACACAATCAGGAATCATCTATAGTTGGAAAGGCAGCTCAATGCTGTGTGCTTGCTAATGACTAGATTAAGAGCACAAGGTTGGAGAAATTCAATGATAATTAGTGCCTAAATACCACAATAGTGTTTGTTTTTCTGCAGCACATAAAATTCACCCAGGTTACTGTTTAACCCTGTTTCTCAGCACAGCAGTGCATTAGTTACTACTATTGCTCACAGCAGGGAGGATCTCCTGGTCAGCTGGATTCTAGTTTATATGTTCTGCTTTTTCCTGATAGATGGCTTTTCTTCAAGTGTTCCCACTTCTCCCAATAATCCAGAGACTTGCATATCAACTTGATTGGTGAATCTAAATTATACATAGTTGCTGATGTTAAATAAAGGTCGATAAAATTTTAGATAAAGTGATTAATAAGATGAAAATAGTTACATTTCAAAGACAGGTAGAGCTAGAAGAAAAAGATGAGTGTGTTCAAGCTTCATCAGTCTTTCAATCTCGCTTCAGTCACTAACATGTGAAAGTAATCACGCAGAAGTGAGATTAAAAGCAACAAAAGGGTGGTGAAGTACAAGATTTCCTTAAGTGTTTGAGGCATTTATTTCACAGGCAAGCCCCCTTAAAGGCATTATCTCTGTTTTTGACTTCTCTGTTTAAAAACTAATTAATCTCCCGTTGTCCATCTTTGTTCTTTCTTTTTTCTAATTCTGTATGCTAACAGCGAAACCTGTCCTTCACCTGTGCGGAGACCCACACCTTCCCAGTCTTTTTCAACGCCACCAGTTTCCTGCAGTTGCCTGGTCGAGCCAATCATAACACGGTATCCGTGGGCTTCCAGTTTCGTACGTGGAACCCTCATGGCCTCCTCCTATTCAGCAATCTTGATGATGGCACTCTGGAGATCTCGCTTGAGGACGGCAAGGTTGCGGTTCACATCAATGTGACGAAAGCGGCCAAAAGCTACCGAGTAGATTTATCATCAGGTGGGTTTGCCTACATAAAAACATATCACATGTACGCTTACATTATATTTGCTATTGAACTATATGGAAAAACATTCATGTAGGAAACTCCTTCTAGGAAAAAGACTTGCCACTCAACGGCCGAATTGGTTATGCTTCTTGGGCAGTGTTTTTTTCTTTCAATGGACAGTAAATGAAAACTCTATAGAACCAATAATCAAGCCTGATTATTGGACATGGGAGGTTACTAAAATGGCTTAGTTTGAGACAGGGGATGAACTAAAGGGGGGGTCACATCAAGTTCCACTACAAGGTAATTAAGCGTGAGTTTGAAATGCTAATTTTCAAAGCCGCTCTTGTCGATTCCAAGAATAAAAATAATGAGCTGAAAATAAGCAAACTTGGTGCCCATTAAACTGATGCACATAAAGCTGGAAGTTATTATTAAGGTAGAAACAAAATACCTTAATAATAAGGTATTGGTGGCACGGTGGTTAGCACTGTTGCCGCACAGCAAGAAGGTCCTGAGTTCAATTCCAACATCAGGCCGGGTCTTTCTGTGTGGAGTTTGCATGTTCTCCCCGTGTTTGCGTGGGTTCCCTCCGGGTACTCCGGCTTCCTCCCACCGTCCAAAGACATGCAGCTTGTGGGGTTAGGTTAATTGGAAAATCCAAATTGTCACTAGGTGTGAATGTGTGAATGAAAGTGAGTGCGAATGGTTGTCTGTCCCTGTGTGTTGGCCCTGTGACAGACTGGCGACCTGTCCAGGGTGTACCCCGCCTCTCGCCCTATGACAGCTGGGATAGGCTCCGGCGCCCCCCGCAACCCTGAAAAGGAGAAGCGAATGGATGGATGGATGGATGGATGGATGGACAAAATAAGGTTCAAAATAATTTTAGCCATGATGCTATCATCTGTGGCTCTTTTTATTCCATTTATTTCATTCCCTTCCTACAACCTTTCTTGCCCCTCACCCCTTCCTCCCATACTCTTATTTCTTCCTTCCCCTTCCTTCTTTCTCCCTCTCTATCTGTAGACACACTCATTTATTCTGTCCACTGCTGCTTTAATAGGCCATTATGCCCAGGGGTAGGGATTATTACAGAGTTACCCTCTAGGCTAATTGGGATTGAGCCTGCGATTACATCAGTATTACCAGAGTACATAGACACACAAACACATACCCGCACACGCAAACACATGCTCCCTCCTTTGATTCTGTTATTAGTATCTCTGAAAAAGAAAGCCAAACTGGCTTCTAGCTTCAATGACACAGTGGGAGCTCAGTAGACTTATAATGAAATGCTTAGTCCCTCTTAATGGCAAATATACTGGGGAGAGACGTGCAGATATGCACACATCGAGGAGCAAAACGAGAGTGAGAGAAAAGAGAGGCTTCTCACAGACACAACGCCATCCAGTTTTCCCACTGGGGATAATTTGTTTATGGAGCGTTTAAGTGACAGCTTATTCAGACATATACCTATTTCCAAACAGATAAGATAAATAAAGTATTTCTCATTTTCTCTGTTAGCTTGAAGGAAAAACACACAAGCACACACATTCTTTCATTTGGAGCTTTTAACCCAAGTAACCTTTTAGCCATCTAAGACTGCAAATTCACCAATGATGGTTAATCACAGAAAGTGTTTTCTTACTAAATCTCTGGTTTAGGCCAAATAATATGCCATTACATGAGTCAGAATAAGGCATGTGATTAATTCCTGTAAACAGAATTGAATCACATACTGTAAACTTTGAAATGTACAAAGCTGATTTCAACACATCTGTTTATGGACACAAATATCTAATCAGCCAGTCGGATGGCAACAATTCAGCGCATTTAGGCACGTAGACATGGTCAAGTTGACCTGGTGAAGTTCAAATTGATTATCACAATAGGGAAGAAGGGTAAATTATGTGTCTTTAAATGTGGCATTGTTGTTTGTGCCAGATGGGCTGCTCAGAATATTTCAGAAACTGCTGATCCACTGGGATTTTCCAACATTACCATCTCTAGGGTTGAAAGAGACTGGTCTGAAAAAGAGAAAATATCCAGTGAGTTCTCTGGGCAAAAATGCTTTGTTGATGACAGCGGTCAGAGGAGAATGGACAGATTGCTTCAACTGATAGGAAGGCAGCAGAAACTAATCACTCGTTATAACGTATAAGGTATGCATAAGAGCATCTCGAACCTTGAAGCACATGGGCTAAAGCAACAGAAGACCAGATTAGGGACTAATACTGGAAGCTAAAAACAAAAAACTGAGTTCATGCGAGCTGGACAGTAATGCTGGCTGTTCTGATGAGTCCTGATTTCTGCTGCAGCATTTGGGGGGCAAGGTCAAAATTAGGTGTGAACAACATGAAATCTTGAATCCCTTGTGCCATGTATTAAGACTTCAGGCTGCTGGTCATGTAATTGTGCAGTGGATATTTTCTTGGCACTCTTGCACTATGTCAAGAAGCTCAAGTCATCTTAAACAGCTTTCATAGAGATGAAATTTAAGTCACTGTACTCAAATGACCTCCACAGTCACTAGATCTGCACCTTTGGGATGTGGTGGAACAAGAAATTCACATCCATAGATGAGCAGCAGACAAATTCACAGCAACTACTGCATGTGATGCTTAAAAGTATATGGCGTTCCAAGCATTTCTTTTTTTGCCCCCAGAAACATATTCTTTAAAGCTCCATTAAGCAGTTTGTTTCGTCAAATGAAATGAAATGCTGTAAAGATAGTGTTATTGAAAGCTAGAATTAGAGGAAGGTCTGTAATAAACCAGTTAGACTGAGACTTTTTCTCTCC